AGCCCTGATCCTTTCCCCACCTGCACAACACGAGGTGAGTTCCTGGGGCCTGGCAGTTTTTCCCCTGAAATCTTCCGATAATTGGAAAGGGAAAAACTTCGCTTTCGAAAACGTTTCATCTTAAAAATCAAAAATAAATAAATAAATAAATAAAAATGGACACCTTCCAAAAGGATGGAGAAGAGGCACGCTGTTCCAAAAGGCACTCGCGTTCAAAAAGGAAGATGAAAAGTTTCAGCCAGGGCTATTTATAACCCCTGCTCATCCCCAGCGGCGGCACCTTTCAGCCGTACCGAGTGCCCCGGGGCAGGTAATGCCCCACGATCCCATGACAGCCCCGGCACCGTGCCGTGCCAAAACGTGCCACGGGACCCTGTGCTGCTTGGGAAGGGGCAGCAGATACACCAAAAACTGAAAAAAAATAAAATAAAATAAAAAATCCCATAAGGAGATGGGGAGCTTGTTACACCCTCACCCTATTTATTGCCATAAGCTTGCCCCTGTTATATCCAGCAGGGAACGAGGCAGCCCCCTGCCCTCGGGTTCAAGCCCGTGTCAAAACCAACTGCTGCTGGCACGCGGGGAGGTTCGGGAGCTGTGGCTTTGCCACGTGTGCCTCCAAAAAGTGCCGACGTGGCACCGGCACCGCGCGGGACGCCGTCCCTCACCCTGCTCCCCGAGCAGCCCCGTTGGAAGGGGGCACCCGGGCAGCTGCTCCTGCTGGAAAGGATCCTTGCCCAGGATGCTGGCTGGGAGCTGCCTGAAGTTCTGGAAAGGGAACCGACTCTTCTCTTCCTCCCTGCTCCTAAATAGGTCATTTAATTACCACCTTCCCAAACCCAAAACAACGCTGACTCAAGGCGCGAGGTGGGAGCGCTGCAATTCCACGCCGCACAATGCCCAAGAGCAGCCCAGAGGCACGGTGCCGGGCTTTCCTCGACGTTGGGGGTCCCCCCGAGTCCCCCACAGACCCCCCTGGCACAGGGGCACAGACGGCGAGGACCTCCGGCTTTCAATTAGCCCCGTTTAATTAAACCAAGGAGGGTTGGGAACGCAGGTGCCCGGCGCACGGTGCCGGCCGAGCCCGCGGAGCAGCGATGCTCCGAGCGCAGGCACGGAGGAGCTGGAGGAAAAAGGAGGGGAAGCAGCGTTTCAGCGGGCGTTGCGCAAACGGCTCCGTGCCCTGCTCGTCCTCGTCACGCCGCCACGAGTTCACCGCGCAGCGCCCGGGTGCCTGCAGGGTGGTGGCCGCCGCCTGACACATCCCCACGCAGCACCGGCCGGCCCGACCGGCTCCCACCGAGGCTCCTCTCATGCTGAAGGGCGTTTTGGGGACGGGACCCCTCCTCTCGCACCCCCAGGATCACACCGCAGGGTTTGGATCCCCGCTGGTACCCAGGGGATGAGGCTGGGGCACGCGGGGGCAGGATGCGCCCGCGGCGTTTTTGTTGGAGCAGAGCTGGAGGTGCCGGGGGACACCCATTTTTGGAGAGGGTCACGTTTTCCTGGGGGTCAGCACGCGGCCCCCCTGCAAAAAATCATCCCAGGAGGCGAAGGGCTCAGGCACTCACCTGCTCCGGGATCACTCCTGCATTAAGGAGCAGCCTCGTCGCTGCCTCTGCGCCACGGCCGGCACCGCGCACACCTCTCCCCGCCACGCATCCCCCTCGGGAAGGGCGCAAAAACGGGACGGGGCTGCCCAGAAAACTCTCCCGACACTCCCCCCTTTGCCAAGAGAAAGCAAAGCTACGGCCCTCCCCCCGAATAAATCCCTCCGAACCTATTTCCCCTGCGCTTAACAAGCCCTCGCTCCACGCAGGCACTTTTTTGGGTTAAGTGATGCAAGCCCTCGTCCTTTTTTTTTTTTTCCAAGCGCTGGGGAGCTACAGCAGGGAGACACCAGGAGCGAGGGCAGGAGAAAGGAGAAATTAAAGAAAAAAAAAAAACACCACAGGCAAACAGAAGTGGAGTGCGAGATGAAAAGCGACAGCTCGGCGAAGGTAGAGCTGCTGGCAGGCAGACGGCTAGATCCATCTTGAAAGCAAAAGCAAACTGCTGCTCAAACAAGGCAGAGGGAAAAGCTAGAGGTCTGCCGGCACTGCCTGAGCTCTGATCAAACAAAATGATTAACAAATTTCGGCTCTTTATTGAAAGCTTCTCTAATTAGAAGAAAAAAAAAGATGGAGGAGGAAAGGGGGGGGATAAATAAATAAAAAACCCTTTGAGAGGAGCGTCGGATGGAAAAGCGGCGGCGCCAGGGACCGATCCTGCTCCTCGTCCCTGCTGCTGCGGGAGGGATGAGCGGCTCGGGGTGCGGGATCGTGGCTCTGCCTCATCCTCCCCGTTCCTCCCTGCCCCTGCTCTGACTCACCCCGGCTCCTCGCTACGGCCGCACGGCCTTCCTGGGGGGAAGGACTGTCATCTGCAATCCGCTCACCTCCGAACTCCGGGGGCAGCTCAGCCTCTAGGAAGCGCTAAAATAGCCAGAAAAAAAAATAAAAAAAAAAAAAAAAAGAAGAAAAGAGTCCCTGGCCCGAGGAGCTCGCCCTCCGAACAGATGGGACGGCTACGGGGCGAGGCACGGGGATATTTTTAGCTCTGGTTGCAGATGGGGAAGTCCGGCACGGCGAGGCTCAGCCAGCATCCACGCGGCAGCCCACGCCGCTGCCCCTGCCCTGGTGGGCTGAGCTGGGTGCACACCCCCCCGGGGCTCCCCCCGGGATTTAACGGGGCGCTGCCAGCTCCGTTCCCAAACCGTGAGCGCCACGGCCACACTGCACGGCACCTATGGTGGGATTTTGGGGGACGGGGGTTTGGGGGACAGGGGTGATGCCGGCGACGCGCGTCCCTCCTCTCCTGAAACAGGGGGCAGCCACGGCGAGCCGGCGGAGGCTGCTTGGAGAAAAACACCTCGAAAATCGCTGCCCCTGACACATTTTGGGGTCGAAACGCAAAGGGCCAGGCTGGGATGCCTGCGGAGGAGCTGGCACCGAGCTGTCCCCTTCGGCCAAAAAACCCCGGCGGGCCCCAAACGAGGGCCGGGAGCGTCGGCCTCGTTGTGCCGAGGAGCCGCAGCCTCTACCTGGCCTCCCGGGCGGCCGGGGCCACCGGGTCGCGCGTTGGACACTTTGGGCTTTGTTCTCCCGTGCACAAAGAGGCTTTTACACGGCCCTGGAAGCACGGAGGGACCTCGGAGTGGATGCGCTTTATGACCATATTTAGGCTCCTTGACGTCGCCAGAGTCGCGCTAAAGGGCCGGGGGGGATTTGAGATTCGGGCCCCGCTCCTTTCAGCTTGGAGCAACCAGGGGAAAAAAAAAAATAAATCCACCCCGGCACCGGCCGCGTCCTCCCCACCCCGGCACCGAGCGCCCTGCCGCGGCCAGCGCCGTGCGAGCAGGGAGGGGGCACCGGCCCCCCCCCCCCCCCGGCCTGGCCCAGCACGGCCCCGCGGGGAAGCCGAGGGACTTGCCCAAGGTGACCCCGTGACAAAGCCACCGCTTCGTGAGGTCCCCAAGGTCCCCCCCAAGCCCCCCGCTGGACCGAGCGGGTGGGCAGGGAGGGGGACACGCGGGTGGCCCCGGGGTGGCTGGTGCCAAAAGGCAGCACCCGGCCGTGCCGAGCCTTTCGCAGCCAGGCCTTTCACCTCGACCCCATTAAATCCCCTCTTACCCCTCCCTGGCAGGACCCCCGACCCCCGTGCCACCAAAACCCCGAGCCCCCTGCCCAGTTTTGCCCCGGCGGCGCCGTCCCCCGCAGCGGGGCCGCCAACCACCTGCTCCCGAGCCGGCACAAGTGCGGATGCCTCAGCCTGGCAAAGCCATGACAACTGCAGAATTTGAAGGGCACGGGGAGGAGGGAGGGAAAAAGGAAAAAGCCGCGAGGCCCTTCCAGAGGGCCGTGACCTTCAGGAGCCCGCCGCCGGCGCTCCCCACCGCAACCGGAGCGGCAACCGGGGGCTGCCGGAGCTCGTGCCCGTCCCCCAAGTTTGGGGCTATCAGCACCGAACTGGTGTGGGGATGGGGAGAAAAGAGCGAGAATCGAGCTTACCTGCACCCAAAAAGCGCTGCTCCTCGCCTGGGGGGGGGGCAGGGGACATGGGGGGGTCCCAGCCTGCGGGCACGGCCCCGTCCCCAGCGAGGTTTGGGGCTGGTGAGCCCGGGTCCAGCTCGGCCCTAAAAGCCCACGTGGGTGCCCTAAAACCTCAGAGGTTTCGGAGGGGCAGGATCAGGCCCTCCCCGGGAAAAATTGGGGGGGGGGAGAAGGGGGCAGGCGGCTCGCCCAGGGGGATTTGTAGCAGCCCGGCCGGGGGGCTGCGGGGGTGTCATCATGGGGTGGGGGGGGACACAGGAGGGGACACCCCGATTTGTGGCCAGGATGGGGAAGGAAGCTGTGGGTGCGTGCGTGGGGGGGGAGGGGGGGGAATATTAAAAAAATATAAAAATGAAAATAAAAAAAGGCGACAACAAAGCTTGGGGAGGGGGGGGAAAACGGCGGAGGGCGAGGAGGCCGAACGGCGGATGGAGGCCCCCCCAGACCCACAGTGCCAGCAGCGAGCGGGGGGCTTCGTGCCCCAAATCCCAAGCCCCACAAACGGCAGCGGCGGCGCTGGGCCCCCCCCCAAAATGTGTGTTCCCCCCCCCTAAGGAACAAACAATCCCAGCTGTCAGCTCCGGGCCGGCAAGCGGCCAAGGCACGGGAGCTCCTCGACTCCATTTACCGCCGGCTCCTCCGAAAAGCTGCCCTTGCCACTCAAATCCCTGCAGCGGGGACCCCCCCATGGACCCCCCCCAAAAAAAAAAAAAAACACAAAAAAACTCCGCATCCCCCCCCCAGCATCGCCCCCATCTCCCCGCTCCCCCCAAGCCCAAACATCGCGGCCCCGCATCAAGGGGATGGAGGGGGGGGGGGGTTAGGGTGGAAATAGGGTTTTGGGGGGCTGCCAGCTCGTGTCCCCCCCCCCTTTAAATAACGGGGCGAGCCCCCCCCGGCGCCTCTCACCTGGCCCCCCGCTGCTCAGCGCCACCTCTTCCCCTTCCTCCCTTCTCGCTCCCTCCTTCACCTCTGCACCATTTTGGTTTGTTTTGAAGCGGCGGAGGGGAGGAGGGGGGGGGTGAACGGGGAAGGGGGGGGGGGAGGAAGAGGAGGAGGAGGAGGATGGGGAGGGTGGTTATGGGGTGGGGGGGGTGGGGGGGGAAGGATGTGCTGCTTCTCCGCCCCCGCCGCCACGGCTCGGCTCTCGGCTCGGCTCCGCCGCCCATCCCCGCCGCCTCGGGGCTTGGGGGGGAAGGGGGAGGATTTTTTTGGGGGGGTTTAAGGGGTTTTGGGGGGGTTTAGTTTTTTTTGGGGGGGGGTTAGGGAGTTTTGGGGGGCTTAAATGGGGTTGGGGGGAAAGGGGAGTGGGGGGGGAGGGAGGAGTTAGGGGAGGGGGGGTAGGGAGATTTGGGGGGGGTTGGGGGGTGGTTAGGGGATTTGGGGGGGTTGGGGGGAAATGAGGGGGGTCTAAGGGATTGGGGGGAATCTTGGGGATTGGGGGGGGGTTTAGGGGGATGGGGGGTTAAGGGGATGGAGGGGGTTAGGGGGATTGGAGGGGTTAGGGGGACTGGGGGGTTAGGGGGAATTGGGGGGGGGTCCAGGGGACTGGGGAGGTCTAGGGGATTGGGGGGGGGGTTAGGAGATTGGGAGGGTTTAGGGGGATGGGGGGGTTAGGGGGAATTGGGGGTCTAGGGGATTGGAGGGGTTTTTATCGGGGTGGGGGGGGGATAGGGGGACTTTGGGGGGTTTTAGGGGGGCTTTGGGGGGTTTAGGGGGACTGGGGGAGTTATGGGGGGACTGGGGGGGTTAATGGGGGTTGAGGGGGTGTTAGGGGATTGGGGGGCTCAGGAGAATTGGGGGGGGTTAGGGAGGTTTAGGGAGACTGGAGGGGGGTTAGGGGAACTGGGGGGGGTTGGGGAACTGGGGGGGTAGGGGGATGGGGGGAGTTTAGGGGTATTGGGGGGGGTTTAGGGGGATAGGGGGCTTCAAGGGGGTAGGGGGGGTTTAGGGGGACTGGGATGGTGCTGCCAACTCCCCCCCCAGCCTCCAGCTGCTCGGCACGGGGCCGCCTTTCTCGGAGTAGTAAACGCCAAAAAAACCCCCCCGGCGGAGCCGTTTCGAAAAAAAAAAAAAAAAAAAAAAAAAAAAAAAAAAAAAAAAAAGCGAAAAAAAAAAAAAAAAAAACGCCTATTTTTTTTTAAAAAAAAAAAAAAAAAAAAAAAAAGGTCAGAAAAGTAAAACGGAGCGGCCGCGGGACCCTACCTCGAGTCGCCGGAGCGGAGCGGGGGCCTGGCGGAGCCGCCTCCCGGGGCTGCGGCGCTGCCGGCGGGGAGCGACCATGGCCGGGGCCCGGCCCAGCCCGGCGGCGGGGCGGGGCGGGAGCAAATGGCCGCGGCCGGGGAAGGAGCCGCAGGCCCCGGCCTGGGCCTGGCCCCGCTTCTCGCCTCGCGGGGGTCTCCCCCCCGCAGCCCCGACCCCTTCATGGGGGGGGGAATTTAGGGAGAGGGGGGTGGTTCTGGGCCCTTCCCGGGGGGTGCTGTTGCCCCGCGGCTCGGTTGCCAGTGGGGGGGGTTTGGGGTTGTGGGGAGAGGGAGGGGTGTTGTGTGGGGGTAATAAAGGAATAAATTGCTAATAAATGTTGAATTTGATTAAAAATGGGAGGTGAGGGGGGGAGTGGGCACTTGGAGGGGGTCGGTTTGGGGTCCGGCACCTCCGTGGGTGCTGGGGTGGGCACTCGGAGGGGCTTCCTTCAGCCCCCAGCCCCATCGTAATATCTCAACCCTAAAGGCCAAGGAGCGTTTTTGAGCACATTTTTAAATTTCTGAAGCCTATGCCGTCAGAATTGGTCCCAATTGGTTCAGGCTGGAAATGAGGAGGCATTGGACATGGTGGGGTCACCGTCCCTGGCGGTGTTGGACGTGGTGCTTGGGGACATGGCTCAGGGGTGACATTGGTGGTAGGGGGTGGTTGGTCCAGCTGGGCTTGGAGGGCTTCTCCAACCCTAATGACGCTGGGATTCTGTGGAAATATTAACGGAGCTGCCATGGGACTTTTCTCTGCTCATCCCGGAGGAAGCAGGCTTGTGCTGGGGGTCAGCAGCTCCTCGGGAAATGTTTTATGGTCCCCCCACCAGCTGGCACGGGTCCCATGGGAGCCCAAAGCCCCCGAGGATGGGGATGCTGAAGCAGTGGTGGCTTTGTCCCCGTCACCCACACCAGGAAGGGTCCCCAAGGCCGCTGTCCCCGCACGAGGGAGCAGTGACGGGGACATCCCAGCCCCATTGGGTGCACCCAGCTGGAACACCACAAAAAATGGGTGCACGTGGCCTCCCAGCTGCACCCACTGACCAGCACCTGCCAGCCCCACTTCCACCATCCCGTTCCAGGCAGGAAAATGCCCCCGGTGACTCAGAAAAGGGGGACGAGCGAGCGGTGTGGGGACATTTTGCGGAGACGGGACCGGCACCGGTGCGTGCCCCCTGTGCCAACGCGTGGCCCTGCACCGGGCAAACCCGGCCATTAATTAGCGAGTTAATAACCCGAGGAAGCTGCCGACCTCTAATCTTTGCTCAGGCACCGAGCAGCACATCAGGGCCTTGCTCCGTGCCATCCCCATGGCCGACAAGAAGCTTTACGCTGCCTTAATTTGGGACTAACTAATCAAAGACTCAAAAATCTCCGCCAAGGTGACGGGTACGAGCACCCGTGCCGTCCCCACCCCTCTGGCTCAGTGACACAGTTCCCTGCTGGCTCCTTCCCACATCACCACACACATTTCCAGTGGACTTTTCTCTGTGTTTGGCTTTTTGGGGCTGTTTGTTGTCAGTGAGTTATTTTATTATATTTATTGTTAGAAATAGCGCTATTTTTAGCGCCCTGTTGGATTAGATAGAGATGGGATTAGTCATCCCACCAAGAGCTGTTTGCAGCCTTTCCTCAAGGATTCTCTGGGGTTTGTTTTCCAATCAACCGAGAGCGCGTATCCAAAGAAATAAAAAATAAAAATAGTCATAATAATGTGCACCAGCCGAGCTCCGGTGCCGCTCCATGAGATACTGGTGGAAACGCGGGAAGCATCCAGCCCAGGATATTTATGAGACGAAGACAAGAACAGTCCTATGAACCTCAAAGTATTTTGGAAAGTCGGTTCGGGCTGCGTTTTTTTTTCTCTTGGGAACCGAATGCTGAGTAACTCCCTTCCCACACCAGGCTGATGGTTTCGTACAGCTGGTACGCAGCCTCTTGACAGTGGAAATTGCTTTCCCTTGCCCTATGCCAGCGGGTAGGAGGGAGGAGGACTCCTGGGTCTGCAAAGATACGCAGCCACCTACACCCTCTGCAAGTCAGGCTATTAAAAAAAAAAGAAAAAACACCCCAAAATCCTGAAGCGTGAAAAACGTTCGCTCCTTTCACGCACCGCACGCAGCTTCTGCTGGTGGCTGCGTGGCACGGAAAGGCAGCGGGACCAGTGGGACGCACGGCTTCCCAGCACTGGCACCCATGGGTGGCTCCGCCAGGGCTGCATGGGGGACCCGTCCCCATGTCCTTGCCCCCAGCACCCCGCTCACTCATCCCATTCTCACTCCAGAGGTTGCAACCAGGATGGAGACGAGGAAACCAGGATCCTTCTCATTCCCTGTGGGACCGGTGCTGTTTTGGGGCCGGCAAAACCCCGCTGGCACCGGGACGCAGTGCATAGGGGACGTTCACTTGCACTAGGACCGCGCCAGCCCAGGGCAAATCCAGCACCCACCCAGTGGGCCAAGAGTTCCCATGCTGGTTTTGGAGACACTGCTTGGGTGGTTGCAAAACGTGGTGGTTATGCGGGTGGACGCGGTGGGAAACCCAAATCTGCGGCTGCACAGATGTGCCACCGCCAGCTCGACCCCATTAACACCAGAGCCCTCAGGATGCTACAGATCCTAAAAGAAGGGAAGATCCTAAAAAAAAGTGGGATGCTGGCATCCCACCAACCCCATAACTCAGGACAGGAGGGGGTGCAGGTGGCATTTTGGAGACACAAACACCATCCCCGGGGGCACCAACCCATCCCCGGGGGGGGCACATCCAGCCCCGCTCCCTGCAGCGCCCTCTCCCCCAGTGCCCACCCCACAGCTTGGCAGGGTGAGGGTGGCACACGTGCGGTGACAACGGGTCGGGGACACACAGGCAGGGAGGAAGCGTCACCTTCACGTGGCCCCCCCCCAGCAGGGGTGCACCCAAGCGGATTATTTGCCCCCACAGCCGAGGGCGGCCGCGTTTGCCAGAGAGGGGTCCATGGAAAGGGGTGGGGGGGGACACAGCGCACAAAGGGATGCTCTAGGGAGCTGGGGGGCCCTGCTTGGCTGGTGCTGGGGGCCTCCTGCCCAGGCCCCCAGCCCGCCCCGCTCCCTCCCTCCCTGCCCCCCCTTTCCTCTCCCAGGCTAAATTCTCCCACAGCCTCCATTGACGTCCTGCCTGCGTCACCGTCTCCAGCACAACCAGACAGCACGTGGGAGAGGCAGGTTTAAAGCGGCAGGGCCACGCCACGGCTCCAGCTGCGCGCCCCGGCAGCGGGGTGCCCCGCAAGGGGGGTCACCCCCCAAAACCCCTCTGCGCCCCACATCTCCCTCCCAACCCCCCTGGTACCCCGCAGCCCTGCTGGGAGGGGGTTCCCCATGGCAAAGCGCATGGCACGGGGCGCGAGGAGGCTGCTGTCCCCTGCAGCAAGGCTCGCACGGGAGCGTGTAAATATTTTGCTTCCAGGTCTGCGCCCGCATCCCCTCCCCGCCGCTCTCCAAACCGAGCCCCGAGCGGGGGCCAGGAGCGCAGGAGGCCGGTTTGTGCTCCAAGTGCAAGCTCGCAGCCCTGGCTCCAAAACCCGGAGCCAGACTCTTGGTGGTTTTGATTTTTTTTTTAATTTTTTTTTTTCCCCTCCCCGCTTGGCCCCGGGCCAGTCCTTTTGCCTTTATACATCTGCGCTTCGCATGTGCTGAACCCAAGGTGTGGCTCGGCTGCGGTCCCAAGGGCTGCACACCCCCAGCGATCGGGGTGGGGGGGTCACGAGCGGGGAGCTTTGCGAGGGGTGGGACGCAGGGTGCCGCGCGGGGACTCAGCCCTGGGTTGCAAG